CTGGAGCACTATCGGAACAGCAGCCTTAACCTTCAGGAGAAACCATCTCCCTGAATGTTTACTACGCATGTCCAGTACAACATGATGCCTCCATCTTTCTTTGAAGTGAAGCCGAAGGTAAATCTGCCATGTAGTTTATGTGATAAATCATTATCATTATTCTTTTTTTAATTCATTTTTTAAATAATTTTATTTTAACTCTTTCATAACACAAAGAATACACACACAATAGACATACAGCACCTGACATTGTTGCATGAAAAACCAAAAAGGACAGAGGATCCATGGAGCAACCAAATACAGTCGTCAGTATCATCAGGGGTGCAAGAAACAGAAAACAGAAAGAAAACAAACAAACAAACAAACAAACAAACATGGGAGGAGGGATATCAGAATATCAGTCAGATCAGGATGAGGCAGAATTTTAACAGAGAAAAAAAAAAATACAACATAGCAGCATGGCTCACAAGATGGACATTTAGGTTTCATCAGCCAAAAACAGCTTCTACATCTTCTGATAATAATTTTGTGAATTTTGTTTGCTAAAGCGAATCTCTTCCATCCTAGCAAAAGAAACCATTTCATTGAGCCACCTCTTAAAACAAGAGGGTGTTGGAGACTTCCAGTTTAATAGTATTAATGTTTTGGCTGCAACCATGCCTGTTTTGAGAGCCTGCTTATAATGGGGAGGAAGGGCTGTTGTCCTGTCTGAAGAGCCAAATATTGCCAGATTGCAGCTTGGTTGAATATTTATTCTTAATTATTTAGAGAACCAATTAAATGTGTCACACCAAAAATTGCGGAGTACCAGACTCTGATTTCAGTTTTGGAGTAATGCAACCTAAGACCTTGAATCAAATTAATCGATATCTAGAGTTAATAGAGCAGTTCTGTACCCTGGCCAGGCCTTCCTCCCATAGTTCATCTGACAGCGGAACATCCAGTTCTTCTGGAGAGATCAAAGCAAGAGATCAAATGTTTCGAATTTGGCTGTGAGAAGAGTATATCGTAAAAGTCATGGTACTGTGGTATCAGTGGAAATCCAGAAACATAGTCCCTTAAGAAATGCCTGACCTGTAAGTATCAGTAAAAATGTGATTGAGGAAGGTGATATTTAGTCTGGAGCTGAGGGAAAGAGGCAAAGTTGTTATCTATGTAAAAATCTCCAATACAACGCAACCCCTCTATCACCAGTCCAAAAACACCCCATCCATCAATCCTGGTTTAAACACGTGATTGTGTGCTATCGGGGTGTTTACTGAGATGTTTGGCAGTCCAAGGAATTTTTTTATCTGATTCAGTATCTTCAGAGAGTTTGTGAGTATGAAGTTATGGTCAAATAATTTATAGGTAGGCTGTGTTTTGGGAAATAAGCAATGCTTGGAGAGAAGTTTCTGAAACTGACATGGATTCAATTTTTAACCAGAGTGGGGAAGCAGCAGATCAATCATCTCCAGGGGAGCCCCATGGCCAGAAAGTGAGAGCCCAGTAATAGTGTCTAAATACAGGGAGGCCGAGACCACCCCTGTCTACATTCTTCAGTGGGCTTTACAAATGTGAGGGGGTTTATTTGCCCAGACAAATGAAGGGATGACAGAATACAGTCATTTAAAAAAAAACATGGGTAGATAAATAGGAAGGTTTTGAATCATCAGCGTATAAATTAAGCAGGCTTTCAACATTACCAAACTTCACACTGTGAATACCTGGGCGAGCCCTGATACCTATCCCAAGTGGTTCCAAAGCAATATCAAAATAGTGCAATGCCTTGCCTTGTGTGCCTTGTAGAATTCACAGCCAAAGCCATCTGGGCCGGCTGCTTTTCCAGAGGGGAAGGTTCGAATAGCATTCAAAAGGACAGTTTTAGAAATTGGAGCATCAATACCATCTTGTGATGCACTGTATAATTGAAGAACATTTAGATTAGCAAAAAAAAGGTAGAAAAATCAGCTTCAGTGGGATTTACTCTACTGGAATACAGTTCCTTGTAGAAGTTCCTGAAGCAAGGGTTTATCCCCTTTGGGTTAGTAACCAGTTTACCTGGTTTGGATTTTATCTTATGAATAGCTTGCTTAGCCTGCTCACCTCTGAGTTGGCTTGCTACCAGTTTCTCTCGTTTATCCCCAAGTTTGAAATTCTTCTGTTTAACTTTTAGTAGAACATTGCTGATAAATTTATTAAGAATGGTGTTATATTCGTATTTTAATTCTAAGATCTTATTGTAAGTAACAAGAGGTAAGAGGGAGGATCTGTATGCCTCTTCCAGTACTTGAAGCATCTTTTCAGTATCCCTAAGGCAACTGTTAAGTTCTCTCTTCTTAGAAGTTTCAAATGAGATAATATGTCCTTTGATCACGACCTTGAAGCGCCAGCTGTATTTTTGTTTAGACAGGATATTGTTTAAATTAAGAGAGACCGGCCTATTATTAGATATTAAGATATTGTGATAAGTACAATTGTTGACGTAGGATCATTCAGAGGATATCAGGAAATAGTTGATCCTAGTGTAAGACTTATTGAACATGAGAGTAGAAAGAAAAATCTTTATATATAAAGCACAGCATTGCCTGTAAATATCTTGGTCATCCTTCAACTGATCTGTGATGAAATATCCAAGATACTTTACTATTTACTTTCAAATTATTATCTGACAATTTGAATGTAGGAAACATTAGACATCTGTCCTCTTTTGTTCTGTATTGCCTATCATCATGCTTGGAGGAGGAGATAAGATCGGCCTCCTTCAATACAAAAGTGCCTCTCGTTCTTCTTGAAATCTGATTGGCTCAGCCGCAGTCATCAGTCATTAGTCATGGCAGACCAGGCTAGTTTGACCGTTAAACAGAAAACATGGATAAAGCCGTAAAACAAGTGGCGTGGAAAAAACTCGAATAAAAAAACTTAAAGCCACAGTGTGTAGGAATTTCTCCCATCTAATGTTGAAATCATATATTGTATTCAAACAGATGGCGCACTCTAGCGCCTCACTGTTTCAAACACGTATTGCAACAACTGTAGCCGCTGTGTACCAAAAAGCTAGTATAACACTGATGAAACCATGTCATCCAATACTACATGGAGTATTCATTCAGGCTCCTACACAGACACACGCAACGCGAGTTGACAAACCCTCTCCTCACCATGCTGGCTGTGTTTACAACGTAGGACTGTTGGGGCGGATGTAAATTGAAACAAACCAATCACGTCTTGTCCTTTGACAACTGACAAGTGGCTCAACCTCACACACCTCATCCCTCTCCTCGCATTACTGCGCCGCTAACAGCTGTTAGTGGCCAGCGGCACTACTGCCGCATAACAAAGTCCCACTCTTTGAGCATAATGCAGGATCATGTATTATGCAGCATCACGGGAGACGGAATCCTCGT